GATTCGCTCTCATTACTACTACTGACTCACCTCAACCCTCCACTTAATAGACCTACGCTTTCCTACTCCATTACTTGCCTTATCGGGGGCTGTTACTACCATCCCTTTCCTATCTCGACAATATCACACAATGAGCAACTACTGCAACTGCCACAATATCGCAACTTTGAACATTCTAGGAACTACCGCTATCTCTGCGGCTTCAGCTGCAGCAACGACTCGATAAGGTAGTGCATATGATCCCCTGACGACGATGAGCCGTGATTTCATGGCGCGTGACCAAACCAATCGTCTCCGTTGGCACGCTCTGCATCAGAACCACTTGCAACAGCATCACTGGGCTTGTACTCAACCACGTTCTCCACGAGTTTCATCAACCTCCCAGCCCGGCAGCTTTGATATATCACTCATCAGCTCGAAAACACGAGTAAGAATAAGTATCTCCCATCCTAGCCTACCTGTGTCCGCTCCCAAAGAAGAGTAAAAGCTATTCGTAAGACATGCACCAGAGAGCAACGAGAACAAGCATTTTTTCATTCTTGAACGCTTTGAATTCGCATAGTATAACCCCACCATCACCAAAATCCAAGCCGTCTACTTTAACGCCCAGATGGCTGACGTACAGAGAGAACTGACGCTAAGGACCCAAAGTCCGGTGAAATCTCGAAGAATTCTGCAATGAGAATCACCACAATTTCCCCAACCTACGCCGTCCACATCTAATCATATATCGATTTCATTAATGCCCTTACGTGAGGGTCCCGATCTTCACAACACTTTCGTAAAGACTCTAGTGAGTATCCCCCGTACACTGGAAGATTAACACAGTGATCCTCCTGGTGTCATTTATTAGGAATCAGGGTAGACGTATTCAGAAGCCAACAAAAATTTCCCAAAATTTCCCGAAAATTTTTGCATATAATCACCGTCACCCATCGTTGGCTATGTGCATATTTTCTCACACAGGTGAACTAATTTTTACTCTGCGATTGAGTACAGTTCACCACGTCTAGAAATAACGCTCCCACTATCATAGCCGCTATAATGTGCAACACTCGACAGAGACCTAATTTGCCCTTTTATTACCTCATTTACGGCTTCCTTCTTCCCTTCCTTATCAGGGCTGCTGACTTGCACCTTCAACTTGTGTATTTTCCCCCCTTTCGATGATCTCAAGTATCCCAGATCTCTAACAACAAGTTGATATGAGTAGGCAAACGATTTCAATCGATCACAATGGCGTGCGCGATTTTCCGAGAGTGAGATACGTTTTCATGTAGCACACTCTCTCTCTTGAACGACCCAACATCGGCGCCTTGAGTTTGTGTGCGTAACGTACCAGATCCCGGCCGAGTCTACTAATCTTTCGGATGTCTAAGGACCTTCCTTACGCCCTAGAGTGGGGTCACGGTGCGTCTGTCAATGCGAGTAGATTCAGGTTTGTTGATCCCCGTTGTCGATGCCTGAGAAGACATATACTGCGGCTGAAGTGGCCACTCACAACAGCGAGAGTGATTGCTGGGTTATTATCGGTGATGAAGTTTACGACGTGACCGAGTTCTTGCCCGACCATCCTGGTGGAAAGAAGCGATCCTGTTGTTCGCTGGCA